GGTCGAAAATGGAGTCATCACCTAGTAATTGGGGAGAACTAGGAAACTTTAAACATATTTGTCTACATAGATATTTATTTAAGGGGTCAATTACACATAGGAAAGATATAATATCACTATCATCTCATTCTACCTAAGGTAGAGTCGTATTGTTTCCCTACAAATATGAAAATCTATTTTTTCCTATGTTATGCTTCTAAACCTATTTAAATGAGTTTATTTTATAAAAATATATAACATGATAGATTGGATGTAAAATAAAGTAGTTTGGAAGCTCAGAGCCGATCTAAGGCTAATACTTCCTACCCAAAGAGGAATGGTGGGAGAAGTTGCAATTTTGACCGATCATTAATGAACACAACCTATTATCAATAAATAGATGAGTTTCTAAATATGGATAACTTTTTTATTAGTATGAGCAACAAGTCACTAGTGACTTCACTCACACAAGTTGGAAGCCACCAACGACTTCTACTTATCATACAAGTAGGAAGGTGCCAACTACTTTATTTAGCTCGAGCAAGGAGCAAATAACTATTTTGAAAGCCACTTAGTGGTTTCATCACATAAGTGGGAAGCCACTAATGGCTTCATTTCAAACAAGTAGATATTAAATAAAAATTATTTTAAAGCCACTAATGGCTTAGTCACATAAGTGAAAAGCCACTAGCTTTTTCATTTTGATGAAATAAGAAATAGGAAAAAAATAAAAAACAAGGAAACAAAAAATGTAAAACAACTATAAAAAACGAGACAAAATGATTCCAAAACCATCAACGACTTCTTCACATAAGTGAGAAGCCACTAGTGGCCTCATTTCGTCATTGCAACCAACCATAATTCAAAATTAAGAAAAAGAAAATGGGAAACATGAATAAAAAAATAGAAACAAGAAACAGGAAAACAAAAAATAGAAAACAAGCAAGATGATTCCAAAACCACCAACAACTTTGTCACATAAGTGGGAAGCCATTGGTAGTTTATTTTTATCATTATAGGAATTGGCACAAACTTCGCACTTAAGTATACGGGGATAAAACAGGAAAACAAGATAGTTTGTCTTAAAATTGGCATTATAGGAATATCTCGCTTCAACTATATTCAAACCATGAATATTTAAGTGCCATGCAACAATTTAATTCACATAATTGAACATATTCAGTCAATCATCCATAAAAAGAAGACAAACTTCACATTTAGACTTGCGAGAATAAAACAGGTAAAACATTGTAGTTTGTCCTTTAATATCCATTACAACAATACTTGTTTTAACTACATTTAAACTATATATATTTTTTAAAAAAAATACAACAATTTCATTCACATTTTCAAATAATCTAGTCGCTTTTAACCATCATTTTTAAAAAGCATAATGGATTTGAAATTTTTACCCAAAGGTTCCGTAGCTCCAAATTTTTTAAATTTTAAATTTTTATTTTTGTTAATTTTTAGGTTAATTCATTAATCAATTATTAGTTTGTTTAATTAGGTTAATTTTGATCAATTGATGGATTTGATTTAGGTTTAATTAATTAATTAGGTTAAATTTGATTAATTGTTAATCCGTTAATGACTTTGTTAAGTTATTATTTTTTGTTAATTGTTAGGTTACTTTGTTGATTAATTGTTAGTTTGATTTTGATTTATTAGTTGATTTGATTTAGGTTAAATTTGATTAATTATTAATATGTTAATTGTGAGGTTATTTTGTAATTAATTGTTAGTTTAATTTAGGTTTAATTAATAAATTAGGTTAATTTTGATTAATTGATTGATTTTTAATTTTATTTATATTGAAAGTTGTTAATTAATTGTTAGTTAAATTCAATTTGGTTTGAATTAGAGTTAATTTGATTTAGGTTTAAATTTAATTAGGTTTGAATTAGAATTAATTAGGTTAATTTGATTTAGCTTTACTTAATTAATTAGTTCAAATTTGATTAATTGGTTGATTTTTAATTTTATTTATATTAGAAATTGTTAATTAATTGTTAGTTAAATTTAATTAGGTTTGAATTAGAATTAATTAGGTTAATTTGATTTAGCTTTACTTAATTAATTAGGTCAAATTTGATTAATTGGTTGATTTTTAATTTTATTTATATTAGAAATTGTTAATTAATTGTTAGTTAAATTTAATTAGGTTTGAATCAGGTTTAAATTAATAAGGTTTGAATTAATTTTAATTAGGCTTATTTGATTTAGGTTAATTAATTAATTAATTAATTTGATTAAATTTGATTAACTGGTTGGTTTTAAATTTTATTTATATTAGAAATTATTAATTAATAGTTAGTTAAATTTAATAGGTTTGAATTTGGGTTAATTAGATTTAGGTTTAAATTTAATAGGTTTGAATTATAATCAATTATGTTAATTTTGATTAGTTGGTTGGTATTTAATTTTATTTATATGCAAATTGTTAATTATTTGCTAATTAAATTTAATTAAGTTAAATTTCAATAAGTTGCTCAAGTAACTATGTTGCTTCGATCCGTCCTTTTGCCTTAAAGTATTCTTGTCCGACATTAGATTGTTAAACACTCTAATTGCATGAAAAAATAAAAGAAATTTGATAGAGAAAAAATAAATCGAATCCGGATTTCCATGTCATACATGCACCCATATTACATATATATGGATCTTGGATTCAAATCACAAAGTATAATAATAATCCAAGAAACATAAATTTACTTATTACTTTTCATAGAAATTCATGGCACCATCGACCATTGAAAGCTGAAACATTTTTAAATGGTAATTTTGTTGTACACTTTTGTTTCTTATTGGTTATTATGGTTGCATTTGTAATTTCACATGTGGATTTATTTTGACGTTTTCATTATTATCCATTAGGGTTATGTTTCTTTCCTCTTTATTTTTTTTCCTTTTTTTTATGATAATGAAAGGGATAAAGCTTGAAAAACTAAATTGATAGAGAATGTTTATTATCCGTTGCTACTACACTTTTCTTTTTCCTTCTTTTGGATACAAAATTGTTAGTTAAATTTAATTAAGTGTGGGAAGCATGGCATTAGAATTGGGCCACACCCGAGTTTCAAGCTCGATCTCAATAGACATCTCAAAATCGCATGTCGAAAATGGGTGGTGTTGGTGTTGGCTCATCCGAGCATATAGGAGGAATCCAATTCTTTTGTTGAGCATGCTGAACGTTTAGTAAATCTTATTATCCATTGTGTTATAAATTAATTTTTATATTTATTACATCTCATATTATTTTTTCAGCATAATAAATTGGGTCTTATAACCCAAATCCTTATGAGTTGCTCGTGACCACACACAAGTAGAAAGATGGACCACTCGTCGATTGACGGTCCTAGGCAATAATGAAAAAATTTTCATTTTTGTAAATATACATTTATTAATATAATTTCAAAATATATTTATGATTTAATATTATAATTATTCCAATAATGCAAAAACACAAGCGATCAATGTAAGAAGTAGATGATAAAGAGCAATAAAAGAGTGATTCATTGTCTCCAAACATAGAGATGTCTAAGATATATTTTGATATTGTAAGAGGAGAGAAGAAACAGAGAGTATATGGCTTCAAATCACAAGTATCTTGGTATTACTCCCATTTTGGCATTAGCTCCTCCTCTAGCACTTTGTGATACTCTAGTGGTAATATTTGTCGCTACTCGACATTCATAGGGCTCTTAAAATTTTATTTAAGATTTATCTTGTTTGAATTTTTTTTTTTTAGAATATGAATTATTTATTAATTTTAAAGTTGCCACCTAGTATTAAAGGTAACTAGGAACCTAAAATAGGGATTAGTTTTGAGGTTCTCGGGTAAGGAGTTGGTTACAACTTTAGGAAGATATTAATCACTTAAACACACCATTGCCTAGGAAAGGTACCATGCCTAGCTTAGTCCTAAAATTTACCTCTAAAAAATTTTATTTTTTCCAAAATTAATCCTAGTAAAAATTTCAAGTTTTATTTCCTATGTCAAACTAAGTTTTTTTTTTTTTTTTGTGGTATCAAGTGGAATCAATTGTCGGATCCCTATGTCAAGCGTCTCTTTTTTTTTTTGTGGTATCAAGTGGAATCAATTGTCGGCTCCCTATGTTAAGCGTCTCGTCAATTCAAAATCGGATTCGATTAAAGTCTCAACATAACTAGTATGTCATAAAACAATCTAATTACTAAATGTGATTGCTTTTACCTAACATCGATCTCTATTAGATTGGAGATTTTGTTATTGTCTTTTTTTTTCCTATATTTTTACCTTTTATCTTTTTTTTATCTTATCATTTTTTGGCTATTTTTATACATATTTCTTTATCAATTTTTTAGTCATTCATCGTTTTTTTTTTATCCAGCCCTTTTTTTAGCATCTTTTTTTTTTTTTTGCTATATATATATATATATATATATATATCCCATCATTTCTTTTTCTTCTTCGTTATAGAGAATTGTCATTAGTTTCTAAGAATTAAGAGACTTGATAATTTATTCACCTAACCTAATTATTGAAATAAATCCAAAAATTAAAAAAGTTCAAGGAATTCAAAACATTAAATCTAAATGAAGAAAAAAATACAAAAAAAAATGTATTCATAAAAGAAATTCATGGTTAATTTATCCGAAAATGGCTAAAATTGGGGTATTGGACCTTTTAGGGTTAGCGAGCCCTCGGCCTATTGGGCCGGGCCTACTAGGCTAGCCAGCTAGACAAGCCAACCTTTTCTCTTTTTCTTCTTCTTCTTCTTTCTTCGTTTTTAAGTCTCGACCCGACTCGTGCCTCACGGCTAAGCCCAACCTTTTTTCTCTAGCTTGGCCTAGCTTAATCACCTCTTAACACATTTATCTCTTTTCTCCCAAATTTCTCTAGATCAAAACAATCCTCTCATCTCTTTTTCTCATCTTCTTCTTTCTCTTTTAACTTGATTTCCTCTTTTTTTCCCCCTCAATCTCTCTCTCCTCTTCCTAGAAAAAAAAAGACCTATTCTTTAACTTTCACATTCACCTTACTCCAAGAACCCTAAAATTTCCCCTTCTCTAATCCTTCTAGCTCGCGACTCTAATCGCTTTACCTCATTTATTTCCCTTAACACACCAAAACCCCTAGGTTTCTTAAGTCCTTCAATCCGGTCATAACCTTTTCCTTAAAGAAATCCTTAAAATCATTTCTCTTATTTTCTAACACGAGAAAAACAAATGGGTTATCTATTCTTCTCGAATTAAACCTCAAACCTTCATCTCCATTTCTCGATTGATGGTTATCAAGTTGTTAATCCATTATTAATCTCTCTTTTTCTGAATCCCTCACCAAATCCTTTAAGTTTTCTCTCTTAGATCTCAAAATCAAGAACCTTAGGTTTCAATTATTTCCCTAATTGAACACCTAAAACCGAAAATCAAAATAACTAAACCTATTATCCATCTTTTTAAAGCCATCACGACCCTATTCTCCCATTCCTCTAGTACATCCAAACCCTAGATCTCATCCCCTACTTTTACTCAACCCTAAAACTCAATTCAAATCCAAAATCAAATGGGCAAGCTTATAGTCAAACCTTTCAAACCCATCAAGATCCTTCTTTCACCTTTCTCTCATGAAAACAAATGCAATAAAAAATGAAATTTAGAAGGGGTGGTAGTTTTAGGGTGATGACAGGTCATGAATATTACTTTTATCAACCATCTTGGAAAACCATGGATTACGTTGACATGAAAAGGGAACTTCACAATGAAAAAGGAAAGGAGAATCTTACTTGGATGTCTTATTTAAGGGGAACTTCGATGACGTTAGATGGCGGTAGTATCGATGGTAGTTTTGAAGGGTAGAAAAATATACTAAGGTGTTGATGGTGGGTGCCTAGCTAGGTAGGAGCAATTGGAAGTAGACAATCATTGCTTTAGCCTCACCAAAGTCCTTTCATAGTCCGAAGCTATCGAATCTATTGAGTAAGGGCCTTAAACTTCTAAGCTTTGTACTTGGTTTGTTTATGTTTCACCCTATCTAAAATAATTTGAAATGATGTTTTCTCTAAGTATTGGCTCTTAGATTTCCTTAACTACTTGCTCTCTGTCTCTCTCATGTTCCAAACTCTCCCTTCCAATGACTAGAATTACCTTCTACTATTTCCATAATAACTCAAACCTTCCTAATTATTTTTTCTAATTGCCTTTTACATTGTGTCAATTGTTTCTAAATTCCTCATTGTTGTCCTCTCCCAATTGCCTAAACGTCACCCTTATTTATACCCAAAATTGACCTCCCCTCTACTAAACTAATATTGTTGCAAGTTTTTGGCTTTGTATAAATAAAGCTAAAAGTATTTGTGCTTTAAAACTATGCCTCATATTTTACCTATTTTGGATATGTTTGTTATGTAGATTGGTATAGGTTGTAGGAGCTACAAATGTTAGTGTAGGTGCTCAATATCCAACCATGCTTGGACGAGGCTTGAATTAATGTATTATTGCATTATTTATTTTAATAATAATAAAGAAGTCATTAAATTAATTCTTGTGTTTTATATTTGTAAATTTAGTAGAATTAGATATAAGTCCTTATGATATGCATTTGTAATAGTGATTGATTAAAAGATGTGAGACAAACACTAATGCATATAAATTATATCATTAAAACATCCCAAGTCATAGCATTGTCAAGAATGGACATTGACTATATATGGATAAATTTATGAGTGCTATGCTCATGCTATATGATAGCGAGTAGGCGATCTCGTACCTATTGGCATGGTGATGCCAAAGCAAGCACTTAGGTGATTTATGTTAGAGAGCATATCACTAGACTTGATTCTTCATGAGAACTCATTTGGTTTTAGTCTATACGAATCTCATACGAATGAGTACAAATGGTCCTTAGACTTGAAGTCATCATGGTTATCTCATTAAAGAACTTGTGCACTTTGATACTCGTTTTGATGTACCCATTAAAGGGTTGCACATGGGCAATTCTTTAGGTGCATTAGAAATCTAATAGAGACAGTGTCTATGACTAAGATAGGACATGTCATTCCTTGTATGCTAAAGGAGTTATCACATTACAATTCAATAAATGTCTACTTAAGAAATCTTTGGCCATATTAGGAGTACACTAATAGAGCATAGTTGGTTTACTCTAATAGCTAAGACATTTAAAAATCAAAGAAAACTTGTGTGATCATAATCAAACAAGACTTATAACCAAGTTCGAGATCACACTCGTGGTAAGTTAATACAAGGAATGAATTGTATGGTAACTATGTTCGTGAAAAGTAATCATGGATTAAATAATCCTCCTAAAAAATTGGGTAGTCATGATGTCTTACTAGAGGCCAATCTTGATTTATGTATCAAGAGATAAAAGAGGATTTTTCATTCTTAATATATTGCCAATATATCTCGAGCCTATTAAGTCACATGCATAAGTTTAAGTATTCATATTATAAATGAGAAGCAAAAATATTGAAAAAAAAATTCCATTATAAAAGTTTTCTATTTTGGAAAGGGTTTCCAAAATGAAAAGTTTCCTTAATTAGGAAGTTTCTTAAAATAGAAAGTTTTCTATTTTAGAAATTAGTTTCCTAATTTGGGAGTTAGTTCCAACTTTGGAAGTAAACAACCTAAAATGAAAATGAGTTTTCTAATTTAGGTTAAAGGGTATTTTAGAAAATTGCTTCATAATGTGGACCCTCCTAAAATAATCTAAGATTATTTATTTGGATAGTCCAAACAAATTTATTAGGCTAAAATGATTTTGACCCATTAGGTTTAATTAAAAGCCTTAAGATATTTTGGTGAGAGGATAAAGATCAACCTTATTGATAAGAATGAATGTTTTGAAGATAAAGATCAAAAGTCCACACGTGGAAATAACTTCTCATCCTTGGAGGATAAGGAAGCAACAACGTCGAGTCCTAATGGAGACTTAATACTTGTCCCTCTCCTTGTCCTTGGAGGACAATGAAAATCTCTTATAAATATAAGGGGGAGAGAGAGGTGCGACAATTAAGCAAAATAAAAGAGAAAAAGGAAAAATTGGACCAGACTCTAAACACTAACTAGGGTACATGGCAAAGTGAAGAAAAAAGGAAAAAATAGTTTTCTTCAAAAACCCTAGCATAAATATACTCTTTCCTTCTCTTTTAAGTTTGTAATAAAATTACACGGGATTGATTTTATTGGAAATACTACACAAATCAGAAAAGAGTAGAGCTAGCACCCTATTGATTTTGAGTGCTTCTTTGTGAATATTTGAACTACGTGGATCATCAATAGAGGTCGAAAAATAGGATGACTTTTCCGATAAAAGAATTTGGATATATGCTATAAGAGGTAATTCTTTATTCATTACCTTAAATTCATGTATGTATAGTTAATAGATTCAACGACTTGTTTTTGAGGCCTTAGATGGAGAAAATTTGTTTTTTATTTTTCACCTCCATAAGATGTATGATCTTTCAACAAATTCGGGATTTGTAGGAATTGTAAGAGCATTGTCCCTCCGGGCACCGATGGAGATGAATAATATCAAAGAGTGATATGGTATAAGGCATATATGCCATGCTTGGATTTTTTATGCATCTAGATGATAGGTCGTTCAAGTTAATTTTGAATTGGTCCTATCGTTTGCTCCCCATATCCAATTAGGTCCCCATAGGTTTAGATTTTTTAACCTTTAGGCAAGTCATTATTGTCGGCACCCTAATTTTTACTAGTCTATTTTTAAATTTGTAAGTTAAAAGAAAATACAAGAGAGAGAGAGACAAAAGGAAGAAGAAGAAGAAGAAGAAATAGAATTATTTGAAAGAAGATTTGGAGGGTCCAATTAAAAAAATAGGAAGTTTGAAAACCAAAAGAGACCTAATTAAGGGTGCAATTAAAAAGATCCAAAACTTTAGCCTTTTTATTAAAATAAAAAAGGATACAATTAGAAGAAATTTAAGAGAAAAGTCCTAATTAATTTAAATTTAGAGTGCCATCAAAGTTAAAACATCCAAAATGACACTTAAATTGGTGGATTATAAGGAATCGGGGACCAAAATGGACTTTTATCTCAAAAAACCTAAAACCCAACTATAAATAAACCCCTCTCTCATTTTTTATACTAACTAATATTCATCACCTTTACCAATTTTCTATGCAATCGTCTATTTCTCTACTACAACAAAACCCCTTGCACATTATCTCCCTCATCAACTCCTCTTCACTTGAAACTTCTCGTCCTTTACCTCAAACAAAATGCTAGCCATCAACCGAGCACCTCACCTCACACATTAGCGTCCCCACACATAACTCCACGACGACGCTAGCACTTTCCTTGTGTGCGGGCCGTCTAACTTACATGCCAACCAATTTGTTGAAACTAGCCTCTTCCTTCACACGCAGGCCTTTATCTTATAGCCAACTAGTAATTAGCCCTCTCCTTCACTAGCTCCATCCCCTTCCATGCGTGGTAGGCCTCCAAGCCCATGAGATCACATACCTCACCGGCCTCCATGCCATGCTCCCTCTCTAACTTGAGTCTCACTCGAAACACTATCTCCTTTGCTAGCTTCGACCTCACTTGAAATAACCACTTACCCCCTTGCTAACCTCACTCAAAATAACCGGCCACTTATGCCAAGCTCTTAAGTGTCATTTCCATCATGCTTAGCGGTCTCTCCCTTATGTGCCGGTATGCCACTCGGCCCCTCCCTCGTGTCAAGCGACCTCTCCCTTATGTGTTAACCAATAAGCCATCTAGCCCTTCCCTCAAGCTAGACAACCTCTTCATCATATGCTAACCAACCCCTCCTTTACGTGCCAACCAACGGCTAACCCTTTGCCTCACATACCGGTCGGTAGCCACCCCTCATCTCTCATACTAGCGACCAGGTAACTTGTCGTCTACCTTACATGTTAACCAATAGCCATCCCTACCTTGCATGCCAACGACTAACTAGTCACTTATCCATGCCACAACTCTAGCCCGCTTCATTCGAAATAACCAACACCAATCAAAACCCATATCATATAAATTTTTTCCATGCCTAGCTTCCCCTCTTTTATAATTCCAACTTAAAACACCATTTATTACAACTTCAATCTTTAACAAAATCCAAACAAAAGAGAATGCAAAGTTTGTTTTGGTTCTGTTTTTGACGATGGATGAGTAACAAAAACTAGCTTAACTATGGATAAAACTAAAACATAAAAAATTTGATGTTTGATTGATTGAGTTTAGCGAGAACAACATGATGTTATAGGCTTTATTTGTGTTTTTTTATATAGTTATCAAAAAAGTTGGATGTTTTCAAAGATACTATCAAATTTGTAGATAAATTTGAAAAATTTATAATGAATTTTATGGCAATAGCAACTTTGGCTACTTGCATTGACTTTGAAGAAACCTTTGATCACCTTAGTAGGACTTATACAATATTTTGATAACAAATAGTTACTCCCCTTTTCTAACTAACTAAACAATCATTTATCATCGAGGATGAAGAAAGTAGAACTAACTCTCAAATCAAACACTTCGACCTTTTAGAACATATTTGCGTAAAACCTTTGAAATAATTATACTCCTTTAAAATATGAATGAAATTATCGCATTTCATCTATATATTCATGGTTTAAATGTGAATGAAATGAATGTTGTCATAATCAACATTATAAATGAATTTCTCTAGTTAAATATTTGCATTTTTAATGTGATATTATGCCAGCTTTATAGTTTAATTGATTTGGTGTACTTGGTTGCAATGCTCCTAAACAAGCAATAATCATATCTAAGGCGTATTATCTAATTTCACTATTTTTGGAAGTCATTTTGTGTGTGTTATGTTCATTAGAAAAGAAGCCATTGGTGACTTCCCACCTATGTGGACGAAGTCTGCTAGTGGCCCTAAAATCAATTTTCTCCCAACAATGTTTATGAAATAAAGTTATTGGTAACTTTTCACTTATGTGACAAAGCCACCAATGATTATAATATCATTTTGTGTGCATTATGTTTGTTAAAACATAGGTCATCCGTGACTTCCCACCTATATGGATGAAGTTACTATTGACCATCAAACCATTTTTATTTCATTTGTAATTACTTAAATAAAGTTATTAATGGCTTACCACCCATGTGATGAAGCCATCTCGTGATTTCAAAGTCATTTTACCTATTTTTTGCTTGCTCAAAATGAAGCTACCATTAGCCTCCTACTTATATGGATAGAACTATCAATGGTTGTTAAACTAATTTTAATTAATTTTGAATTACTAAATTGAATCTATCGATGGCTTTCTATTTATGTAACGAAGCCATCAAAATTTTTTAAATTATTTTATTTATTATTAGATTATCTAAATTGAAGTCGTCGAGGCCTTATGTGATAAAGTGATCAATGGTTTCTAAACCAATTTTCTACTCCTTACTTGACCAAAATAAAGTTATCGATGACTTCCTATTTATATAATGTAGTTTTTGATAACTTCTTAAATCCATGGCTTGAAGTCATTAGTGGCTTCCTACTTATGTGAGTGAGATTGTTAGTGATTCACTGCTCATGTTAATAAAAGGCCATCAATCTTTAGAAAACTTATTTATTTATCATTATAATCCATGTTAGTAAAGATTGGCCAAAATTCTAATTTTCCTTACCTTTACCCTCTAAGTATAGGTATCGACCTCATAATGACGTAAACCCTTGAATTATTCTATTCCAACTCGTTAAAATAAATCCATTCAAGTAGGCATAGAAACATAACATAAGAAAACCAAACTTTTGTTTTCATATGTAAATAATATAGTCTACCTTAGGTATGATGAGATGGTGGTGATGTTATATCTTCCATGTACTTAACCAACCTCTTACTTAAATATCTTTAAAGATTGGCTTATTTTGGGTTCCTAGTTTTTCTCGATTAGCTAGGTGGCCACTCTCATTTTTGCATTTCACCCTAGGAACCCACATTAATAGAATTTGCGACTCTACTAGGGAATATACCATGCTATGGTCAAGCTTTAAATGTCCATGTTCATGAATCTCTAATTATTTTTTTTCTTATATACGTGTATATTTTGAATGAATAATTAGCCATTAATTATTTGCTTTTTTTGTGGTATATATATGGTGTTTTACTTTATAAATTTTCTTTGTTTAATTTTTTATCCTTAATTTTTGAGATTGGATATGGGTCATGCCCTTGCACACAACACTATACCTATTATCCATTGCACACATTTGACTTAAGATTTAGGGAGGAATTACTAGTGCCTAGATGGGCTTCTTCCCCAAGTAACACTCATAAAACCTCAACTCTTTTGGAAAGCTACCCCTATCATGATAGGTAATCGATGGTCTCTATAGTTACCATATTCATACCTAGTTAGCCTTAGTTCTTCTAAGCTGAAAAGGACCTTATTGAAACTTAGATAGATCTTATACACTCATATAAAGACTAGAACCAGACCTTAGGATCATGTTTCATGTATAAATTCATCGAGCAAGTCGGATGTATTAAAATCTTAACCAAACAATTGGTCATGAATGTTTTTAGAAGGGTGATAAGATGATTTACGTCTAAATTTGTGCAATGTTAGAATATCAAAGAAATTTCATGGCTTGATCAAAATATGTTAAAGGTTACTAATGAAACATAACTCTAACTTTAAACCAATTAACAATAGGAAAATCCATCTTGTTAGAATTTTCAAAGATTACTAATGAAAATTAGTTCATCTTTAAACGAACTTGAGTCAATGTAAAAGATCAAAAAATTAATGAATGAATCCTCTTATCACCCCCACATGAAGGCTAGTCCATATCTATTTTCAAGTATCTTTATTTTATATCAATATTATTCATATTGATATATTTTGTTATTTTACTTGGACAAGCATAATTCATCTTGTTAAAATTGCATTTTCCTTCCAAGAATGATAACTCAAGTCAAAACAAGAATGAAAATAAAAAAAGAGCTCAACTTAAGCAAAGCCATTCGAAAGAGTTAAATGCTTTGAATGCAAAAGTTTTTAGGCTAGTTGTTTTAGTTGAGAAAAGTCTACAAGTCCATATTCCTATTGAAGTACCTCCGAATCAAAGAATGAATCGAGTCATCTGCCATTCCTAGAGTGTTCGTTACTATACCAAGTTATACTACTGAAATAGCATCATTGAGGCCACCCCTCTTTATGTCCAATCAAAAGGTTATGAGCATTACAATACCTATCGTCACCACTATGCTTGGAGGCACATCAACTAAAGTGCCTTCGAATCAAAAAATGGGTCTATCATCTACCATTCCCGAAGCATTCACTACTATTCCAAGTTTTACTACTCAAATGACATCATCAAATCCATCTGTTTTTATGTCTAACGGGAAGGGAGTAGTGCAATCTATATTGTTACCACTATGCTTAAGGGCACGTGTAAGTCTATTCATCCTAAGATTTCTAGCCCGAGTCTTGTCAAAATAAACGACCCAAAACTTATAACTATTCAATGACTAACGAAGGTTGTTCAAGCTAAACAATCAATGAAACTTGGATCGTAGAAAATATAGAGAGTTATTGCCTTATTTTCCTATTTCATTAAGTGAGCTCTTCAAACTCCTCATAATTATTGGTCAAGTAACTCTTGTGATTACTACTTCATGGCAACCTCTATTCACTCGGTGGTATAATCCCAATGAATGTTACACTCCAATTATGAACAAAATCACCTTTTCAACCATGCTAATATTAATGAAGTGAATGCATTGTTATTGGATGATATTGGATGTGACAACAAAAATGACGAGTACTAAAATTTGTATGCCCTATTTTTTTAACATGTTATCTACTATCAACCTTAATAAGAAACCAATAAATTATCAAGTTCTTATTCATGTCGAGTCCTTTTGTAAGTTATGATATCAATGATCATTAAGAATTTCATCAAGAAGTACAAACCATACTAGTTCTATGCACCTTAAGAGTAGAAAGAGAGGAAAAGAAATCAAAGAAGTCTTCATATATTGCTAATTTATGCAGCAAGGACTTGAGTTTGATCTAACCATCTTATGCTATGGTAGTGAACATTATGGAGGCGAGAGAGAGTCGATGCTAAGAAAAAGTCATATGACTTAGGTTAGTGCTTGATACTCCATAAATAATGGTGCTTTTTACAAACACATGTAAGGATGTCTTTGATGTGAATCAATGTATCTATGAGACATCCGGAGGAAGGAATTGAATGAATGGTTTGATAAAGAATCACCTTTTTCTTTTAAGGCCAAGTAATTTCTTTATCGTATTTATCTATCATGCTTTCATGTGATGTCAATTTAAGGGATCATGCAAATTTTTTTCTTAAATTACCACCTTTATCTTCTTTCTTCTATCGTGTTTTATTCTCATTTTCACTCTATCTTTGGGAGATTCAATATGATAACATCTCAAAAACAAAAACACTAAGTGATTGTATTAAAA